GCAATCGCAGCCTGTACAGGAGGAGCTGGCAAGGTTGAAGCAGGGAGGGTGTCAGTGGTTTCCCGCAATGCCACAGCTTTTGTCAAAATCCTACACTAAGAATTCTTCCCCTCTTCTCCCCAGGCGCCAGTCTGCTTGATGACCTCTATAAATATTTCTCCTTTCATCACACCCACGGAGACACCATGACTGTCATGGATCCAAAGCAGATGAACGTGGCGGCAGCTCTTTGGGCCGTGGTCTCTTACACCGTTGCAGACATGGAAGAAATGCTGCCCAGGTCGTAGCAAGAGCAAGAACAAGGGCATGTTCTTTCTTTCCTGCCAGCAGTCTCAGGTCTCCAGCTTCAGGGAGCCGTCTATACCTAACAATTTAATTTGATTTCTCTTCAGAGCATGATCCTTTTTTCAGGCTTTCTGTGATTATCCTTCTTGATATTTTTTGGGTTGTCTGTTTCTAGAATAAGAAATGATTCTCCCCACCATTTAGACTCATCAGATCATAGGCAACACAGTGGGGGCAATTCTTTTCACTGCCTGTCTTTTTAAAAATTTTGTTATTGTTTAAAAAAAAACCTTTCTACTTTGAAAGTGAGCATTAAATAAATCTTGAGAAGGCCTCTGACTTTTATCTTATTTATTAAATCAAAAACAATTGCATTAATGTTTCTGTTTAATGTTATAGGTGGATAAAGTAATGGATTTGCCCAATTGTAGTATGATCTTAATGGAATGCATGTAGGCATTTGGCTTTCTACTTTGTACATGTTTACAAATTGTTTATCTTAACAGAAAATAATCTTTTTTCATTAATTGGGGAAAGTCAAGTGTGTACAGTCTAATTGCTATGATAAAGATGAATACTCATAACTGTCTTTATATAACTGATGTAGCTGTTTTGCATTTAGATAGTTCACACAACATCATGAGTTTGGGGCTTATTTCACATTTTACTGATAGCAAGATTGAGTAGAGAGCAAAAAATCATGATCCTTATTCAAGAAGATGACCATAAGTAGAGAATTCTAGGGACAGATCCGCTAAGAAGTGGTATTTTCCTATGGAAATCTTAGATTGTGTGGGTTCATTATGATTCAAGAGGAACTGGAATCTTAACTAAGTGCCAAGGTCATAACAAGGATAGCAAAGGCAAGTGTTGAGGTGAGATGCAGATAGAAGAATCAACCAGCAGTCAAGAGTGCCTGAGAAAAGAACAGAAAAGGGCACACCCCTTGAATCACGGAAAGCAATTCCGCACAAAGAAGGTGAGCAGTAAAGCAATGCCTTCGAGGTGGTGCCACTCTGCCACAGAGGGGAGACCGGATTCCGCCGAGTGGCTGGTGAGAAGGCTTCATCACAGATATCTAAGAAATTAGAGTAAAGGGGAAACTACCAAACAGCATCAAATGCAAATACTAAAAATAAACTAAAACTACAACGATGATTAGTTTTTGTTGGGCTCATCAGCAGACTGGACGAGGTTGAAGAAATCAGTGCAATTGAAGATAGGCCCAAAGAAATCTTTCCAATTGAAGCATCTTAAGAACAGCAGAATAAAACAAAGCAGCAAAAAGCAACTCACAAAGAAACAGAATAGAACAGCCAAGCGTGGTGAGTCACTATCAAACGTAGTTGGGTTCATAGAAGACAAATGATCAATTTTATTAATGGTAACTATTAAAATGATTGACGAGGCTTTTATTTCTGGCAAGATAGCGCATTAGTACTCTGACCTGACTCTCCCAGTAAAATCATTTCAAAAACTACAAATTCCGTATAACACTTCAGAAATGGTCTCCTACACCTATTAATGAACTCGTTAGAAAGTAGAGAGTAGTAGTCCTAAAAAGGTGAGCAAAGTATATGAATCAAGAGCGATTGTCAGAACACCAAGGCAGTTTTCTCTTCAAGGAGATCTGAATTGGATTAACTTAAATTCAATATACTGCACTTTTTCACAACACGAGTTCTACATTTGTTTGCCAACTGCACTCTCCCCATGTGAGGTATTTTCATAATGATACTATGATATTTTTGTAAAAATAAACCGAATGACACATAGTATTTAGTAAAAATATGGGTCACAGCATTGTTTGGCTCAAAGGACTAGACAAAGTCCTTTCTGCCAAAGTTTGGGATACTAGAGACGCCAATAGAGGCTGTACCTTC